ACTTTACAAGAAACTTTTTAACTCTATTACCTCAACTACTTTGCTCATTTCACCAGAATGGCATGGGCATGAAATGTTTCTTTTGTATTCTTAATGTTAAGGTGTGCTCAGACAAAAGCAAAATGGAACGAATTAACCTTTGTTGCCCCTAAGGGACTTTGTCTTGCACATCAAAACCTCCTAAACACGAAAACGTATAACATATGCAACAATAATACAGTACAGTGCCATGATAAAAAACAACATTCAACAACATTGCTCAGTCAGAACTCTTCCAGTACCATAAAAATGAAAAAAAAAACAGTCTATTAGCTGTCAAAGAGTCTAAAAACAACAACAAGATAATAAGATCCCTACCTGCAACATTTTCATTGTGCAACAATTGAATGCTTTTAGTTTTCAGAAGTGTGGGGGTTTTGTGATTTTACTGAGCCAATAATTAATTGTAGCAGTAATCACGAGGTGGCTCGTTATGGCTTTTAGACAATCAATCGTCAGTCTGCCTGGATACAGGCGGCAGATCTTACTGTGAGGGTTATCAAAATACAAGGTATATAATCTCGGAGAGATGCAAACACAAAGAGATACACAACAGAAAATATACTTCAATATACCGTTCGGGTATTCCAAATCGCTCATCAGTGTTATTACCCACTGTTACACTAGGCTCGGAGGTAAATATATTACTCATGAATTAAATTGATAACAACTTGTGGTGAGGTAACAACTAAATTCTCAAGACTTAATGTACTGTAGGACATGGGGTTTACTTATCCTCTGTGTATGGATTTGGATTTCCAAGCACGAACACCAAAACCAGCTGACAGGCTCTGTTGCAAACTCTGTCCCAGCGGTTGTCCAATAGGCGTCATCTCGGTGTCCTCTGGCTACCGGCCAACCAGTCGAGGTGCAGCTCGGAGTAGGACGGGCGGAGGAATCTATCTGCGGCGTGCAGGGCAGTCGTTGCTCCCAGGGGTCTACTAGTAGTCCGGCTGACTAGTAGAAAGTCTCTATGCACAGAGTGTGACCATGGGTCCTCGCAAGTCACTCTTTTGCACGGGAAGAAAACTGGTTCGTTCCCGGTCCAGCGCTGCTTCTGAATAAGCTATTCAGGTTGTCGACGAGGGTCCAACTGTAGGCCGCCGTTGAAAAGCGGAGCATTCACGTTGGTAGAATTCTGAGTACGTACGGGATCCTCGGCCTCGCGCTTAGAACAAAGTCCAAGTCCCAGTGCAGACAACAGCAGTTGTCACGTGATTGTCTCTGAGGGTGCATGAAAATGGCCAAGGAGAGCTCTGACCTGAGCTTGCGCTAACTTTTTGACCAAGACAGAGATGTGTGCTGATTGGTTGAGAGTTTGGCGGGCATTGGAGACCCACATGGTGTTACCACGCCCTGCCAGTCCCCGATTGGTTGATCAAGGTGAGTCACTTACTCCTGACACTTAGGAATGAAGTCCGGATGTCCATCTGGCACTCCCTAGACAGATAGGCGCCAGGGAAGACCACTGATCATGATAGCCAGGCTTAGCTAAGTGCATCCCCATTTGGGAGTTGTTCCTTATCAAAAGAAAACACTTTAAATCAGCCTGCATGAATAGCTTCTCTGTGGCTGCACCAAAGAGATGAAGAGAGAGATGGGGCCTCATTTGGGAAAGCACAGCAATGCTTAATTCTGTCTCATTAACAAGATTTGCAGCTACAGAAGTTAATGACATAAAAGGAGAATCTGCACTGAAATGACTGACAAAAAAGTTGATAACTTTACAGTAACGGAAGTATATTGTTTTTGCTGCTCTTTGTATTACCGAATTCTATGTACGACATTTCCTAACTAAAAACAAAATAAACTGAAACTTATTGCAATACAGTACTTGATTAATTTTAATATAATTAAGGGTCAGGACCCCAAAAAAATATGGTAAAAAAATAAATTGAAAAGCACAGCTCACAAAAAGAATGAAATTCCCCACAGTTCCATTTTATACGTGAACTCCCTTCAAACACTTGATGTTTGAAAATTAATTAAGTAATCCCACAAGGTTAACTGACATTCTTAAAATTACATTTTGGGAATATCTACCATAAGTTTCAAAGGTCTCAGACAAAATGATTTCAGACCTAATTGTTTTTGGAAATTTCTGAGGATGTAACAAGAGTTTATTATTCACATACACAACTTCATAAAATATGAAATTCAGTGGATTTCCTGAAATGTTTCATGCTTTTATACTAAGGGTCAATAAGGATATTCCAAGGAATCCAAAATTCCTCACCAGTCACCAGGCCTCATGCCCGTACAGTCGTATATTTTGTCATAAAATCTCATTTGCGGGAGTGTATTGAAGATTATTCAATTTCCATTCTTGCATTGGGAGTTATGATCAGAGGGTCCTGATCACTTGTGCCAGGGGAGAAGAAAGGACGGACTGTCCTGTCGATTTCCTCGTCAAAAATGTAGATGAGTCGTTTTTTCTCACTTTGGTTGGAATCTTTATCAACATTGTAGAAGCAGACCTTCTTCTTCTCATAGTCCAGGTAGATCCCCACTCTTGTGAGAACACCTGTGTCCAGTGGGGTCTCTGGGTCAGTCAGGGCCGTCAGCTTCCCATCCCAAAGACTCAGGACCCAAAACCCAGCTCCAGGACTCAGACTCAGTTGTCCCTTCCTGCACACTGAGTCTCGGGCCACTCCCAGCTCCCAGGACTTCTTGTTTCCAACCTCCACCTCCCAGTAACACCCACGGCTCATCTCTGGTAACCTGTTGCCCAGCACACAGGGGTATTCATCAAACTGCTCAGGATTGTCAGGGAGATTCTGGCGCTGCTCTGTCCACCTCAGTTCTCTGCCATCTTCTGACACCATCAGGTAGGGGTTCATTGTGTTCATATCCAGGTTTATTAAGACTGTGGAGAAAAACATCTTAAAACATAAATACACAATGGAACAGGTAAAGGTTCTATGCAGAAAGGAGATGAAAAGTTTAATCTGTGGTACCTTCTCAGCTGTGAGTCCTACTCAAACTTTATAAAAATACAACAGTGCAGAAAATAAGTGGCTATTCATACCAGCAATTGTAGTTAGTGATTTAGTTGTAAGAACAGAATATTGCCAGCAGCCATATCACTCTGCAACTCACATCTGGCAACCCCCTGGAGCTCAGCAGGTGTGAGCCTGGTCAGTACCTGGATGGAAGACCTACTGGGAAAAACTAAGGTTGCTGCTGGAAGAGGTGTTAGTGGGGCCAGTAGGGGGCGCTCACCCTGTAGTCCATGTGGGTCCTAATGCCCCACTATAGTGACGGGGACACAATACTGTAAAAAGGCACCGTCCTTCAGATGAGACATAAAACCAAGGTCCTGACTCTCTGTGGTCATTAAAAATCCCAGGGCGTTTCTCGAAAAGAGTAGGGGTGTATCCCCAGCGTCTGGCCAAATTTCCCACTGGCCCTTACCAATCATGGCCTCCTTATAATCACCCTCTCTGAACTGGCTTCATTACTCTGCTCTCCTCCCCACTGAGAGCTGGTGTGTGGTGAGCCTTCTGGCACACTATGGCTGCCGTCGCATCATCCAGGTGGGGCTGCACATTACTATTATTAACTATTCTAAGCATCTAGTGTTGCCTGTTTTTTTAAAGGCCATATTAAACAAAATGGCCGGGAAGTTTGTTGAAGACACCCAGGAACAAAATACCTTAATGCTCCTTAAGCTGGCATTATATTTGTCTGTGAATAAATAAGAAATAAAAGTTAATACATTCTAGAAATGAATGAATGAGAAATAACCTACCTTCCAACAAGCGTACATTAGGGAGATCTGAAAGACATGAAGCCAACAAGACAATGGGTATGGTTAATGAATGTTACATGTTTGAGCAAAGCTCGCTCAGTTTCAAAACCTACAAACCATTGCAAAAACCCTTGTTTTTTCTCCATGTTAAGTTTTAAATTTAACAAAACATCTTCGTACAGAAGTCACTCCCATCTCAGTCCACGGTGTCTGAGAAAACAATGCTCATGACAAATATTTAATGGGTTTGTCTTCAGTCCTACAGAATCAAAAAGAGGATGAGGGAAGAGAGAACTCTGCACATAGGTGCCAACATACCCTAATCCACAAGCATCTGACTTGACCAAATAACTGTTATTCTTCAACTGGAATCTACTAAAAAACTTTCAAAATGAAAGCATAACTTCAGAGTCAAGGAAAGGAAGGGAAAAGAAACTTCATCATGTGTGAAATGTTACAGCTGTTTTATCTTGCTGGTTATACAAGGTTGGGATAAATTATCCTATTCTGTTTTAAATATATTCCTCAATACTATTAGGAACACTTAATACTTTGTTTAACTGACAGAACAGAACAACTAACAGAAAAGGTTGTCCTATATTGTTTTGTTTTTTATTTTGTTCCTGCCTGTAACCCCTGAAGGCAGATACTAATAGATTATAAAAATTACCTGGTACAATACAATTCAGAAGTGCCAAACAAATTCAAAAGATTGGTGAATGCCTTCTTACGTGTGGCAAAAATCTCTACATGCATTTAAAGGATAAATCTTACGGCCTGCAGTCTATAATACTGTTAGGAGCCCTTTATCTGGAAAACAGAGTGGCACCTACTAGAACTAAAAAAAAAACGTATTTTGCCAAAGATACACAGATTCACTGACAAACACCTACTACTAGTACGTACCTACTAAACTCAAGAGCCATTACTAATGCCATCTTAGCTGTCATATTGTTCTGATTATACATATAAGAGTAGGATAAACTATAGTTTTCAGTTTCTTCATACTGTATATTACTTAATACATTTAAGAACTGTTTTACTGACAACTGTACAGTACTTACCATATCCTTCTCTTACTTTTTCACTGCTTTCTGTAGGTGAAGACAAACACCAATAATTTATGAATTACCCAATAAAATGCAGTTTAGACTGCGAAACACATGAGAATGGCTGGAGAATGTGAATGATTATTGTTACAGCCTGAAAGCCGCACAGTCTTACTCAGGACACAAGAGCCAGCTATGAAGACTCCTATAACATTATTAATGCAAACTTCTGAAAAGCATTAGAAACACAACAGCATTCACAGGAGAGACAACTCTTCCCAAAAATAGCATTGATTTTTAACAGGCTTAATTTAAACAATTGTTATGTCCCAGTGTGTGGCCCATGTGTGTTTTTATTGCTATATTTCACACTTCCCGACTTTGATTGTTCTCCCTCACCCATTGGTCCTTCATTACACCATTGTTTCCGTATGACATCATAATCAATCAGCTTCTCGGCCAATCAGAGTGCAGCTTATTCAGTATAAAACTTGGAGGTTTTGCTTCGTTTTGCTTTGTGTGTGTTCTCGTATAGCTTCAGCTTTTTGTTGGTTTGTGTTTGTCTCCTTGTACTTTCGTTTGTTTGTGTTATCCTGTATTTCGCCATTACCTTGCCCTAATGTGTTATATCAACCTCTGTGTTCTTTTGTACCCTATTCCTTGTCTACTCTCGTTTTCCCTTATTTGTATTCCTAGTTCACTTGTGTATTTGTGTGAACTTTTGTTAAGGGTTAGTTAAGGTTGTCGGGTACATTGTACACACATAGCTGAACTCTGTATTGGTAACAGTAGTTTAGTATGGGTGAGTGCCGTTTGTCTTGTATGGTTTTGGGTAGTCAGTGGAGGTTAGCTATGGCGTTTGAAGATGTCTAAGACCGTGTGCTTCAGGTTTTCATTTGCAGTTAGATCAGCTTCCCCTCACTTTATTAGCCAGCTCCATTTTCTTGGTTATTTTTTTTTCTTTGGCACCACTCTAGTTCCCTTTCCCTGTTTGTTATTGTGTCCTAATTACGTACCAGTCACTTATTCACTTTAAAGTAAATTACATTGCACCGCCCTCACCAGAAACCCACCTGCATCCAAATCATCCTAAATGTTACACCCCTTTACCCCTAGACACTTGGGCTCGTAAATTGTACATTCATTGTATCATTAAACTGGAGCAAAGTCCATCTGAAAAGAGATATATCTTTAAATGTCAAGATCAATACTGATTCAGTATCATACATGGGACTGTAATTCACCTGAGAGACGGGCGTAGCTCATTCCCTGATTTCCTGTAAAAAATGTAACAGAACACTTCAAGTCCATCTGATTTTCAACACACTGTTTATCAGTTTCAGTAAATAAAACACTATAAAGACAAGGAGTCTCAGATGTGGATCCTCACAAGTCTACTGCCTTCTGCTTATTTTCAATCAAACCTTTCAGCTACATAGTTAATTAATTCATTACCTGTTTAGTTGTAGCACTTATAACCAGGAACATTTAAAAGCTAACTGTGCCTTCAGTGAAGCAATTTTGTTTCACTGATCAAAAGTAGAAGCCTTAAGAAAAACTCCATACATGTCTAAGAAAATAATTACCTTAATTGTTTAATTGACTACCCAGAGTGGAACAAAAACCAGAAGACCCAGGATGGA